TGTAGAGCCCACTCATTCACAAGTGCCCAGTACGTAGAATTAAAGAAAACAAAGAAAGTCAATGCTTCTGTTAAAAAATGAAATGGTGTGTTTGATGATTTAATTTTACCTTAAAATGCTGATTTTCCACCCCAAGAAACATTCTACATATGAGTTACTCACTAAAATGAGTGGCCCTGGGCCGTGTACTTCATTCCATTGAAAATAATGAAAAAAAGTTATTATCAAGAACTGCCTGTTTTAATGTTGTTTTTTTGCCCCATGCAAATCACAAATAGGCACTGTGATAAGGTGAGTGCATAATGTAGGACAGTGTTTAACTCACCCCACTAAATAAGGTAAATAGATTTCTCCATTTTACAATGTGGACAAAACCATTCATGACTTCAAAATATATACAGACTGGGTCGTCAGCTGCCGAGTGGTTAAGGTCGTTGACTTCAAACCACTTGCTCCTCACTGTTGTAGGTTCGAATCCCAACAGTGACTTTAGACTCTTTCATGTGAGGAAGTTATCCAACTAACTTAGGAACATTGATGATTATACTCATGTACCAGCTTGTGCCTGAAATAATGCATGGAGGGTCACCTGAAGTCTTCCTTCACCACTGAAGCTCCAAAAGTTGCCAAATGACCAGTCACCTCTACTGTGATGGTGTAACTTAACCTCCACCCACCCCACCCCTACCACCACCACAGCCCCCCCCCCCCCCCCCCCAAAAAAAAAAAAAAAAAAAAAAGAAAAGGGAAAAGAACAGCAATGACTTTGATCAGACAGCATGTATTATTGTGCTGGCTTATCTTGGTATGAACTAATACATGGTAAAATTCTGTAGCCACCAGGTGTCTGAGGGATAATTGTAATCAATGGGAATAAACTGATTATATTTAACCTACTGTTTCATGTGTTAACACTTCAGAAAAAAAAGAAATTCTTTTCATTTCATTTTCTCATATTTAAATTACATCTCAGTATGCTTAATAGAATAAATACTATTCCCACTGTGAACTATATAGACGTCTAAATTATTGGGCAGATTTTGCCGAGATATGGTTAGAATTTAAATACCCGTAGCGATAACATTTTACGCATTTACCGCATTTACCATTTATATTTATGATATTAATTTCATGAAGTTATTTTTTTTTTTTCATTTATGAAATATTTGTGGTGATTTTCTAGTATTGGTTAGAACATATAAGTACCATAATAGTATGTGTCTTAGTTATAGTGAATATTATATTCTGCAGCATGTAAATGTCACCAGTTAACGATGACTTAGCTAAATGTTTCCTGGCTTCTTGTATGTGGAAAAATTGGTGACATACACGTTTATATTACTTCCTGGCAGATTGGTTGTTGTGGTTGTTGATTTTTCTCGGATATGTAAATAATTCTGTTTATGTGCTCCAGTATAAAATTGGAGCATTGATAATCTGTAAGAGTGTAAAAATGTAGGTTACAGTTTACGTTTATTTCTACAAGATAAGAAAATGATGGATTTTGATTTTCGGGGTTTGTATGTTTTGATTGTTTACAGAATATAAAGAATTTATATTATTTCAGTCATGTACAATGTATATTCAAATTTTTGAATATTTTTGCTGGTTCAATACTGAATTATTTCTTTTTCTGTTGCATCATATACATATTTTCAATATACATAACTAAATTCTGTATAATACAATATTCTGTCAAATGTTATGAGATCAACGATCATTCAATAATTTTGTACTTGAATTCTGGTTTCAAGCTTTGACTATAATACATGTACCTGTTCCATTCTTGAGCTGTAAATGATGTAGATGATATTTGCTCATCTATAAGATATATAAGTTATTGATTTCATAGAAATGTAATATTAATACTCTCGTTAGCATTCTTTTGCCTGTAAATATACAAAGTAGTCAAATATTATAAATTTTATCAATGAGAAATGTGAATTATACTATTCACTGTTTATAATCACATATAATACTTTTTATCACCATTAAACTGAATATTTATCCACAATTAAACCAAAATAGAATATAAAGGGAGATTTTTTTATGTGAAAATAGTTTGTTATGTGAAAATAGTCTTAGTTGTGAGATAAAAAAAACTCGCCATCTCCAATGAAAATAATTGGAATAGCTTTCACAGCTTACCAAGATATGTAACAGGTCAATATAGATGGTAAACAAACTAATATTCTTCAAACACAGGTGAGATGTTGTAGAATATTGTTGTTGTTTTTTTTATCTGTGTTAAGGTAAGTATGTATATTACCTGCCGAAGATTCAATCAACTTTTTGAAGCTGTGTGAAGATAATGACTGCAGATTTATATTACCAGCATTATAATTTGTTTTGTTGGGTTTTACCGGCACACCGGCAATGTAAAGGTCATATTGGGTCATAACTGGGTCTGAAACCACGATGTTGAGGGGCACCAGCATTATAGTCTAGCGGGGCCTGATGATAATTCTGTGTTACCTGTGCTGACACTTTATTTATAAGTATTTTTATACTAAGATACTATTACAATTAACCTGCTGGGGAAAACTGATTCTGCCCATGTGAAAAGTGCAGACTGTCAACAAGATAAGCAGGCACAACTCGTGCCCTCTGATCATGGTCTGCATGCACTGGTCACTATTTTGTCTGTAAATATTTTTGAAAATTTTCCTTAAAATGAAGGGTTAATTAAACTTATAAGGGGACTAGCTCCTATTTGGACAAGTTAATTACCTAGTCAGTGTGACAAGATATTGTGCTATTTTGTGTATATGCGAGATTCTGACCCAAAACAATAATAGCTCAGAATCTAGCTTTGGCACGTCAATATACTTTGACTAGTAAATTAGCATAAGTAAACATGGATAAATTTGGGTCATGTTTTTTTAAATTTCCTGAGCTAAGTGATACTTTTGTCACAACTGTTTTCAATTATCATAACTCGGGTAAAAACTAAGTAATTCAAGGTAAATTAAGCTCTGTTGTTCATTTACTGTTGTTAAAAGGTATCTGATATTCATTAACAACAGAAACAACAGTGATATATCTAGCTTTGCTGCAGTGTTTTCTTTTTCTGTTTTTCTGTATCAAAGATTCTACAGCAATCAATATCTTTCTCAAATTTTCTCCATTTTTATGAGAATGCTTTGAGATCACAATTAATTTATCTCCATTTTGACTATTGAAGAGTATTCAGATCTTCTTTTATACTGATATGTTTATTTTCTTGAAGTACTAATAAAATTGTGGTTACCATGGAAACAGATTTTATTTCATTAAGTATTTTAAAAGAAATTGAAGAAGTACTTTTCTTATATACAGATATATCATATGCTATGAACAATGTTTCTTTTTTCTTTTCATCTTTACTTTTTATCTATACAGCCAACTGGTTGAAACTAAATTAACTTGGGCATATATTAAATATACAAGGGGTTATCCAAAAATTCGTGGACTTTCTTTGTTGTGTAAAATATATTTGAGATATTAATTTGAACTTCTTACACTGCTTAGAAGAATTAATAACAAATAAACACAGAAAAATTCATGTGAGTAGCTTCTTACATTACAACAATATTTAATTTTACATAAACACATGTCGGCAACAGCGGCGCACTCCAGAAATTTATTGACGTCAACGTCATAATATGTACGTACTGTTCCTTTCAAAAGGTGTTGATAATATTCTACAATGTATGCTGATAAATTTTTATTACAATACACGTTGACGTTCAAGAGATATTTAAAAAGTCCACGAATTTTTGGATAACCCCTCGTATGTATCATTTAGTGAATTACTGAAAATAAAATTTATAAGTCATCTATTGGCCAATTATAAGTTTTTAGGGCAGGCATTCTCATGAAAGGACATTAATTTTATTGGGTACTTCTTTTCTATAAAATACCCAGTAACACAGAAAAATTACCCAACAATACTGAGGGAATGAATGAATTAAATTAACTGTTTCCTATTGTTCTCAGTACTCAAGTTTCTTCTCATTTACCCATAAAATAGTGGCAAGGACTCCTACTCTCAGTGCCTAAATAGAGTGGATGGACCTCATTAAGCTTAGGAAAAAAACATACATACTAGTGTCACTGACTTTACCTAGCTACACAGCCATTGCCAACTGTTTATGGTCTGCACTGTTCGCTGATCATTCAGTATCAGTTTTTAGATTTTCTGATACAGTGTATATTGTCAAATCACAATATCTTGCTGCAAACAGGCAAGAGTTTAAACATTGTTTTGTTTGAAAGATGAAATTGTTTTTATCATTAAGAGTCGGCCATTTTAGTTTGGCCATTATGACCAATCAACCATTTCAGTTTTTCAATTTACATGTATAATCAGCTGTTGCAGTTATACTTTTCTGATAGATGATCAAAATCAAATGATTTTAAGTGTAGATGTGTTGATCCTTGTGTCCATGAATTTAGGTCTCAAAAATAAGAATTGTTCTCCTCTATTTTTCTTTGAATATTCTGTATGCTGTTCAAAGTGACCATATAAAGTGCCCTTCCTTTCTTTTGCTTTGACCTATTTTCTTAAATTTTGGAAATAATGCACATAAATATTTAGATTTTTTTTAGAAATCCCCATTTGAGTTAAAACTTATTGATGGATATGACAATTTTTGGCTCCACAGTGAGGATAACCCAGAGAAGTTTAACAGAAGTGTTGTAATGAAATTGAAATTCAAAAATTTTCTATGTTACAAATTGTCCCAACACCTATGAATGGATGATATACATGGACCTTCTTTGATCACCTTTAATGCCTATTTTAGAAAAAGAAATTGACCCCTTTTTATTAGCCATTTGCATCTAGCTAGAGTTTGCACTTACCGAACAGGCTCAATCAAACAGATCCTGCAACATTTTCAATGTTTTTTGTGCCCTAGGGATTCCTATTTTCTCTATTTCTCACACTGAAATTAGTTGGTAAATTGTATATTGAATTATTCATTGTGTTATTATTTGTATATTTCCTTATTTTTCAGCTCTAACACTCCTTACACAGAGATACACCAAACTGAGTACAACAAGACTTGTAGCCTCCAGTAAAGTCCTTCATAGTGCAATCCCAACACATAACTGTGACATCATTATGACACTGCCCGCAAAAACTGATGATGTCATACTCATGTGGTTGCTGGCTCGTCTAAGGTCAAGGTCACCACAGATACATGTACATGTAAGACATTGGAAGAACACTGGAATGTATGCCTTCTACATGACTGCAAATTATGAGAAGTAAGATTTGTTATGTTATTCTAATGAAATTCAACCAATTTTAAACTTGGTATTAGATATTAAGCCCCTCCAACTTAAGGTTTTTAAATTCATTTGGTTTTCAGTCACTGAGTTAAAGTGAAGTAATACTTTGAAACGTGAAAGTAATATACATATAAGTAAATTAATTAATAAGAAAACAGGTGGTAAAGATTGCACCAATATTAATGTTCCCCTTATAGGGTAAATATTGCTATAATGCTTATGTAGTCATGACAACTTATGACTTTGAGGTTAGAAGGTCAAATGTCAAGGTCACAATGCCAAGTTTTGGACAGAATAATTTGACCATTTTTTATCATGTATAAAATATGCACTTGATTATTTTTGCAGTCATTTTCTAATCTTAAACCAATGCTCTTAAAAGAAAGTTTTGGCATATACTCAAGCTGAACTTTGTCTTCTTCTAGTGGTTATAAATTGAATTGTCTGTAATACTTGAGCAAGAAGAATCTATATGTTATCTTATTTGGAGTTCTTGTGTAAACAGTTGAAATATACAAGTCTGTCCAGCCAACTCAATTTAGAGAGCTTAAATAAGCTAAGACTTCAGGGCATGTATGATGATGTTTTACCATAATGAATTGATTGTCAGTAACAGAGTTTTCTACATCTGAATCAATGATTTCTTATACATGTTTGTGCAGAATTGAGTTTACACACATTTCCTTATGCTCAAGGGTGTGCACCTTTAGCTCAAGGGAGATATCGGATTAGTTATCCAATTTAGGGGCAGCTCGTAGATTTTCGGGTGAGATGTAATTTCTCAATGACGATTGATCTTCCACATTGAGTATAATGGTCATTTGTTTCTCACCACCAATTCAGGGATCATATGGGATAAATAGTTGATCACTGTCATAGAAATTTGTAATTACTGGTAAGTTGTCCAGGAAAGCTGGTTAGGTGAATACAACCAAATGAGTGTTTAAATCCACATTAAATAAACATCAGAAAAACAACAATTTATTTTAAACAAAGTCCTTGTAACTTTTATAAATTACTTTCAAGTCCACCTCCTAGAATTAAACAGTGTCATATGGGGATCCATGGTCGCAAATTATGTTTGGCTGAAACCTGTTGAACCTCATTTATTATATCTTAATACCAGAAAATGCTGACAAATGGCAAAATCAGTGTTTTTACGTGTGGTCATTTTTGTGTCAACATGATTGTGTGATGTAAAGATATACACATTTAGTTATATTGGATTGAAAATCCTATATCATATGATAAATGACAATCTGTTGACATAGTGTTATTATCTCTCTCTCTCTGAGTATGGGAGGGTATATTTTACTATATATTTTCAATTTTGTAACTTCATAAAATGATCAATGCAATATTCCCATGTGTTTTGTGGTAATTGTAAAAAATGTCTGCAAATTTCGTGGAAAATGTTCTTTTGATCTTATTTGATAAAAGAAATCTATTCTTTAGACTCAAACAAATTTTGCATCAAGTTTTGAGGGTAAAATCAATTTCACGTGTCAGATATTCCATTTACGGTAATTATCAAGAAACCTTACGTGTCACATTTTGACATTTCACAGAGGATGTTACTTTAGAGAGCTTACAAAATATTCGCTCACAAAACCTGGGGGGAAAATGTCTGTCTGCTACTAAATGCTGTACACTGACTGCTTTGTTGGATATATAGAAAACATTTAGCCTGCAAACATATTTTACCCATTTTACCAGTGCAGACCACGACCAGTTGGCACATCCATGGTAAGTATTCATGGTCTGCACTGGTCGCTATCCAGTCAATACATAATGTTATCATTTTCCCAGAAATGATCGTTATGTCTGGAATAAAAGATGAAAAAGTCCATTTACAGTATTAAATGCTGTATTAAAAATGGTTAAACTATACTTTTACATGTATGACAGTTCCTAATTTATTTTGAACTTTAGTTGGTGGAATTTGAAAATTTTAGACAGCTTGGTGTTGCCTGGTTAAACTGTTATTTGCTGAAAGCAGTATTCTGTTATTTGCTGAAAGCAGTATTCCCTTACTATGCATCCACAACAGAGATTTTCTTGTAAATAAGTTATTTTTATGTAGAGAAGTTGGCAATTAATTTTTAAGATGTGATAAAAATTGTTATAAGAATACAAAAAATACATAAGGTCTTCCTCCACTAGTGAAGATGGAAAGTCGCCATATGACCTATACTGTGTTTGTGCGGTGTAAAACTCAACCAAAAAGAAACAACGACAAAAAACATAAAAAGAAAATAAAAAACATAAATTTAATTAGATTTAACCCTCACCCTTCTTCACCTGAAAGTGATTAGACTTTGCATTGATGCAGTCTGACCAGGCTTCAAATTTTCATCTTGATATCCCCAAAATGGTTAATGGACAGTTCCAAAATTAAAATCTGGACAAGTCCATTTAAGAAATTCAGCCGTTTGAGTGTTTAACTGCCAGCTATGACTGCAATATTTTCATAAATTATCCATTTACTGGTAATCAAACAAGCCTGTCATATATTAGGGCTACAATAATTTTAAATTTATTATCCTCGTTCAATATCATAACAATGGTATTTTAAGACAAACAGTTACAGTATTGAAACAATTTTTTATTTAGAAAATAGATATCAGTTTTGAGATCAATGTTGTAGAATAATGCACGGCTCAAGTTCAAATGCATAAATGATGTTTTGTAAATGTTGACTGTATATAACTTATGATACATTGTATGTATATGTTGTTATGTTACATTGTATGTATATACTGAGGCCCACATGGAAGATCAGGAAACCGAATGTGCTAGCCTCATTAAATAAAGACTTCACTTACTTACTTACATAGCAATAAAACCATAAAGGCTGATTGGCCTGAGTGATCATTTACAAACTATTTGAATGACAAACCATGCATTATTATACTATAATGCAAGAAAAATTAATATGTTATTTCCATTCTAACATACTTAATAAAAAAGAGAATTGATAAAAATATGTTGTACAATGTAGAAGTTATTTTCCTGACATCATTTGTTTGATTGACATCATATCTGATGTCATATGGCATGTAAGCAGCTGTGTTTTAATTTTCTTTCATTATTAATCTAAATATATTTTACATGATGACTGCTTTTCTTTCTCTAGTTTGTTGCATGGTGCTGAGGTACTAGGTATCAGAAAGGTGCTAAAGTCTGAGTTTGGAGGTGGCAAGCGCGAGTTTATGTTTGAGGACCAGCTCTGTTACCATGGTATCGAAGACGAGGATTCGTTCCTAACGAGCGAGGAGAGACAGAGCATTGTTTATCATTACCTGCTAAATCTACGTGCCTGTCCAGGTGAAACTCTTGGAAAAGTGAAATTCTTAGAGGGTCAAGCTATAGGTAAAACGAAATTTTGAGAATATAATATTTTGTGTCATATATTTATCTTTCTGAAGGATATTGGTTATATTTGCTTACCTAGGCTACCAGACATTCGAGAAAATGTTCATCCATATAGTCCACTAGTCTACTGAACTTCAGGATGCTCACTTTTATCAACGAAGGGCCATAATCCTGCCAACAATTATCTACTCATAAGAGTCTAACAATATGACCAAGGGCAATTGATGACAATAATATCAGTCTGTGCTTGGTTGAAATCCCTTTATAAATGTAGGAGGCATTGCACACTCTCATAACTTCCTGCACTGACGTTCTTCCTGAGTTCATGTTATGGTTCTTTTTCTTTGATCTTCTTTGATCTCAAAACCCCATTAGCAACCTTTTCCCCCACAATTACTAAAGTCTGTTCGGAATGAAAGGGGATATTCATCCCATTTTGTCACTTGAGTATGGTCATATCTTCAGCCAACATTCACCAAACTTATAGCCAAAATGTTCTATTTTGAAAACCTACTTAAAAAATTTAATATTCTTAGATGAATCTTTTGTCTTAGGTTACAACAAAAGATCATTAAACACATGAAGTTTTGTTAGCAGCATTAAATTTAAGATGTAGAGTGTATAAAACTAATTTTCTTCTATGAGGAACGGGAACTTGAAATTTATGCATATCCATCTTTATGTTTTTCTCTAAAATAGCATTTTTATTACATTGCGAACAATTCATCAAAATGTTAAAGCCAATTTTCTGTGAAATTCATTAGCAAGGACAGAGTATTAAAGGGGAATATGGAATAATAGAATGCATGTATGGCAGTATGAGTTATTGAAATAAAACATACACCAACTAGAATGCTTGTATAGTATGATGGTATTGAGAAGTCTTTAGGGAGAGTATCAAAGTGTAGGAAGATCTATTAACAATTGCGGAATTTGCCATTAACTGATTGGAATTCTGTTTGTTTCACTGACTACTTTCGTTTGTATAAATTGTAGAACGTAAATGGTGAGATATATATACTATATAGTTTGGTCAGTCACTTGTCACATCATAAAATGATAAATGAATATGCTGACGGCAGTTAAACCTCTGCAGAGCAGAACACTGTTGGAGACAAAGATTGTTGATTGTTGCTTAAAAGTGTTGTTCTAGACTGGTTGACTGTTGGGAAATCTCATAGAGGGAAAATCTCATAGAGGGAAAATTTGTTATCACAGGTGTAATGAGATTATTGCTCTTCAATGGTTACATTGTAGTTGCTACTATATTGGCATGGACATCTTTAATTTTGACTCAAAGGCTTTTTAACATGATGGGAATGAAATTTTTCTATGAAACTAATGTTCCATTTGATGCAGTTCTAGATCAGTAACTGGTGTGCAAACTTTCAGATCATTTGCTCTAGAATAATTATTCCATTTGTGAGAATGACCCACAATTGAACAGCATTACAACGCTTTTTATTCAAATCATCTAGAAATAGCACAACAATATGATTTTTATTAAATTCTTAGTAAATTTATAAATTGTTTTTTTTTTTTTTGCATATCTTGCCGTTTTAAGTGTCCCAGCTGAACTATATAAGAAATTCAAATTTTATGTTTTATCCAAGTCTTTCGGACTTCAGTAGAGTTCCCTAAGTAACCCTAAGTTCCCTAAGTAACCCTAAGCCTGCTGGAACTCAGTGATTAGATTTTGGTAAACTTGTTACTCTAAATAATAACAAAATTACACAAGATTTCAACAGATTTTAAAAATGCATGTAACCAATTATGAGTTGTACATAGACCTTATTGTACCCCATAGCTAAAAAATCAAAATGCTGAACATGATCAAGTAAATGAGGGCCATAATTACTTTATAGATGATTGAGGTCGGGGCCCTCAGGTTGGGTAATTTTGTTCTGATAAAAAAGGAACCTTGTCTGTCAACGACAATACTCCTAGTGATAAATATAGCATGTTAAAAGCAAATTTCAATATGATATTCTTAAGGGTATTAGTAACTGTTGTAGGCAGCTTAAAATTTAAAAAAAAAAATAAGAGGAGTTTTGTTTTCAAAAATAGGTATGAAATATATATTCACTGGCGAAGGGAATGGGGTCTAATTTTGTTAATACATTGGTTTAAGGTGATGTCACATTTAATGTCATGCCATAATTCATTTAGACTGCCAATAATCACCTTCAGGCAGCCACTTTGTCATATATACACCTCTAAATACCAGATAAAACATAAAAGTGTCTTTCCCCAGTATTATCTAATAAAATTCTAGTACCAACAAAATGTGACAACGAAAACAATCAACAATATGCCTTATGTATCACCAAACGCATTTATTTAAGCTTGCTAATAATAAAAGCTATAAGAGCTTATTTAAGAGCTTATTTAAGTCACTTTGTGTTTCTGTTCTGGAACTAACCATTACTGGTTTTATATGACAAATCATGGTGCTCAAACTCACGATTCCTTGATTGAAAAACACCTTAATCACTACTTACCTTTTTTTTCCCCCCCCGGATCATTCAAGAACTTGGATAGATGTTTCTTAATGTTTCTCATTAACAGACATAAATAAACTACGTCTGTGATTTCCTCGTAATAATTTTGTTATCATTGCCCTCAAGGAATATCAATATTTTGAAATGATTAGAAATGTCTTTAATTTCAGATTTGTTTCAGTTCAGCTGAGATATTTCTGTTTATGTTTATATTACAGTGCCTTTATTGGAGTCTAAGAAGATAGTATCGCAGGTGTTTCCCCTGCATGAGACGGCAGTGCTAGATAAGCTCACGAAGACATGGGTTCAGTCTGTATTCAATTTTCAGCCTCTTGGTAAGTTTACCTTTAAATAGTAAAATTTTGTTGTCACTAATATGACACATATGATAGAAAAAAGGTGTTATATTGATGAGGATAATTTTAATGCATTTAAACAATGTATAACCTTTTTAGTCCTTGTGACAATATTTAGAGACCTGTGCTGCTAGCTTCACACAATTTCCTTATTAAACAGTCTAGCCGCTCCGAGTGCATTATTACACAATAATGCAGAGAATAAGGGAAAAAGCATGTTAATATGCTTATAGCATGATGTGACATGAGTAAACCTAAATATTATTTTCCTGAGGTAGTATAGGACAAGGCTTGCTCAAGTCTTTATTTCAGTGATGTCTGACCGTTCATACTACACAGTCAGTCTGTACACTGTTGAGCTTTAAATTGTAGTATATTGATGGTGAATTCCATTTAACTATCTTGAGAAAGTTCAAAACTGCATGCAGCATTTAGTACTTCATTCATAATGGCGGGCTGGTGTCATCCTAAGCATGCAAATTTTTCATAAAGGCCCAGGGAGACCCATGTAAGATGACATTTTCTAGAACTGGTGCAAACACTAGAAAATCCAGTCTGATATGCACAAAATAAGTCTTCTTCCCCTTCATGCAGTGCTGCTTTATAAAGCTTATAAATATTCATAGAAACTGTCTTTTCTGTGGCCCATAAAACACTTGATTGACACATACACAATTGATTTTGGAGACGAAATTCAATTAATTTTCTAGATGTATTGGATAATTTAGCATATCTTGAAAAAGATTGTAAAAAAAAATGTTCCATTGTCAAGTCTTTCATTGGAAATTTGTTTTCTCTTCATAAGTTTGCTGCAAAGTTACGGAAAGTATGTTCTACTGGGGGAGGGCTTTCTTGCTGCTTATCACCAGTTTTATATTTTATTTGTGGTCTTTCTTTCAATCAAAGATTGTTACAGTTGGATTTCACATATTTACAAAAAAAAATAAATAACAATATAGATAAGAGAATATTGATAAAAAAAATAGTTGTTATTTAATTTACCTGAAACTGCAAAAAAGTAGTAGTCTGCTCTTGTAGTGAAATTCATCAGCAATTGCTCATCGTCTACAGATGTGATACAATTTTATGTATTTCTCTATTTCAGATAAGATTTGTGAGTATTTTAGTGTGAAAGTTTCCATGTATTTCGCCTATCTTGGTCATTACACATTGGCATTGACAGCTCCAACTCTTCTTGGTATCATCTTCTGGTTTATACAGTCAAATAATCAGGTCAGTGTTTATACAGTCAAATAATCAGGTCAGTGTTTATACAGTCAAATAATCAGGTCAGTGTTTATACAGTCAAATAATCAGGTCAGTGTTTATACAGTCAAATAATCAGGTCAGTGTTTATACAGTCAAATAATCAGGTCAGTGATTATACAGTCAAATAATCAGGTCAGTGTTTATACAGTCAAATAATCAGGTCAGTGTTTATACAGTCAAATAATCAGGTCAGTGTTTATACAGTCAAATAATCAGGTCTGTTTATACAGTCAAATAATCAGGTCAGTGTTTATACAGTCAAATATTTAGGACAGTGTTTATATAGTCAAATAATCAGGTCAGTGTTTATACAGTCAAATACCAGTAGCGTTTGTCAGTGTTTATACAGTGAAATAATCAGGTCAGTCTTTTTTCACAGTCAAATAATCAGGTCAGTGTTTATACAGTCATATAATCAGGTCAGTCTTTTTTCACAGTCAAAGAAAATCAAATTTAGTGAGAACAAATTGATCAATCTTTCAAGTTAACATAATGACTGGACTTAAATTGTTGGTGTTTTATTTTTCAGCTTCCTAATGATTATTGACACAAAAATGTTTGATTGTCTTTGCTATTGATGTAAATAGATATTACATTTCATACAATTTATTCTTTAGTTATTCTGAAATTGAAATAAGATTGAAAAAGAGGTTATTTTAAGCCCTGTAGACATTCTTACAAACTTTTTAAAATTCCTTGATAATTATCATTGTACAAGCACTTTTATGTAATAAAATTTGTAATAATTCCCTAGACCATATAAGATTTTTTTGCCTGTATTCAGCTGTTGTTTGTAGACATTTGAAGGCAGTAGAAGTCTTGTTATAATGATCTAAATATGATTGTAATAACAATAATATTAATGGTTTTAGTTGATGGAAGACGTGTGTTTTGTGACATTTGCATTATTCAACGTTTTTTGGGCGTCAGTATACACAGAGCAATGGAGACGAAGAAGCGCTGCTCTAGCATATAAATGGGGAACCCTAGACAAGAAAAATGAACTCTTACAGGACCCTCGTCCACTTTATACGGTAAGTTGACTCGAAGAAGACTTGCTATATACAGTAAGTTGACTCAGTTTAAACAGTAATTAGTTTTGATTTCTACAGATAATTAATCAACTTTATTTTAAGGCAAAATCATTTTGTAAGTTTAAAAACATTATACAGTAAGATGATCCAATTTGTATGGCAAATCAATCCAAATTATATAATATTTCGACCCACTTATGTTGTACATTGTAAGTTATTCCACATTACAGTTTACCCACTTTATACAGTAAGTTAAGTCACAGTTCATTGTATATTTACCCAATTTTTATTGTAGAATATATTAAATTAAAAAGTGAAAGCTTCATTATTTTTATTGTTATCTTGTTTTTATGTAAAAGCAAAATCTTTTATATGATGCAAGGCGAGGATCAAGATGTCACCAATAGAATTGAATCTGTCAACTTGCACTGATGGTAGAATTTTTTTTCATTACTGATCTGTTACATCAATGGTAAGATTATAAATGTGATATTCTAGTATTGTGTAACATATCTAGGGAAGCATATAAATTTTTAAAATTATTCAAGAAAATTTATTCTTTTTAATTATTTAGGGAAATATAAATTTGGAAAAATTATTAATAAAAACATAAATTGAAAATGACTGTCATTTCAGGGTTATCTTGTCACTAGCCCAGTAACTGGCCGTCAGGAACCACACTACCCATCATGGAAACGCCATCTTTTTCGCTACTGTGTCACGGTTCCTGTGATACTGTTCTGTCTGAACATTGTTTTTTGTGTCATGTTGCTCATTTTTGAGCTCCAGGAGTGGGTGAACGGTCTTGTTAAAAGTGAAGATATTCCAGCATTTTGTCAGTTCTTGCCGAAAATTCTTCTAGCTGTTTGTATCGGAATTCTAGATGAAATATATAAAAAGATTGCGACCTGGCTTAATGATAGAGGTAAGCTGATAATGAGACAACTTTGCCTATTAAAAATGTGGTGTTATTTCCCCTTATCTTTACAGAGGTAACTGTTATAATTGTTGTCATATTATTTGCCTGATTGTGGTTGAGTGGTTAGGGATGCTTTCCTTCAATTAATATCCACATGGGTTCAAACCCCAAAAGGAGCAAGCTGTTCTTTTCTTGAGCAAGAAAACTTTACATTCCTTGCTTAGTACTGGTTGGTTCTAGGAACGGATTTGAGAGTGTTTCAATAAGCTAATAGCTTCCAACACAATCACACTAAAATAAATTTGTATAAACTTAATTAATTTCCTCATACTGCTGTGTGTTTAAATCCTAAGTCAGTGAGACTGCCGAGTTTATGCTTGAATCATGCGAGAGAGAATGCTGTATAATATATAACAAATAAAAGTGAAAAACCACCATATACATCTCCATGCCAACGATTTATATTGCTATAATTGTGGTATACAGATACCTTGATTAAGCCATATTTATGTTTTATGTATGTATGCTCCAAAATTATATCAATAATCAAATGAATACATTTTTGGCAAAATGACTTCCTACGTCAGTGCAAAACTTAAGCCAAAGAAAAAAAATCATTTCAAAAAAAGCAAGACTGTAAAATGCCTTTACTTTACTGTGTTGGCTTCATTTAAAAACTAACCTATTCAAATATTTTACAGAAAATTACAGGATGGATGAAGCATATGAAAATAACTTGATCATCAAATTAGTTTTGGTAAGTTCAGCGTGATATAATGACAATTGTTTAAGATGATTCTTTTTTTGTAAAATTTCATTGAGATTTTATTCCATTAGTGGTATTTAATTAGTAAGAAAAGTCTTTGTATACTTATAAATGAAATATTGATAAATATTGATGAAATAAAATATGTTTTTTCATTTTCTGCATTTTCACTGTAAAAAATTATTTTTCACTGGTGTGTAGCTGAACTACTTTCTTCTAAATTCAGCCATTACACAAAATTTAAGGGGATTCAGGTCTTTCTAATTGTCAAATCAAAACCGAGAAAAATGTATATAATAAACATAAAATGTAAGTTTTTTTCTGTAGATACAGGATTTATTTTTATCTTATGGCATGAAAGTTATCATATTTCACTTGTGGCTACTCCCACTCATGAAATATTTATTCAGTTAAGACATATTTTTTTATTTTAATTTTTCTCAAACTAATAAAAGTTTTGCACAGATTAAAAGATGGACAAGTCCATTTAAGATATAATTTATTTAATGTGGGTTAATGTATTTTTTACAATAAATGTTTATAGTTTCAGTTTGTGAACTCATTCCTGTCGTTATTCTACATAGCATTCTATCTACAAGATATGGACCGACTTCGCGATGTAAGCACACATCTAACTAATTGTACAGTATATTAGCTAACTAGTACCATACCATTAGAACCAGAAAATGTAATGTGCCTTGGTTTCAGTTTTATTGGAATTAAAAAAACAATTTTGTTTTATTTTAATAATTAACTTGACTATTCAAAGTATAGGTAGATCTATTGTACTCACCCAGGTGTCAGAGTCACACTTTGGGTCAGTTTTTGCAAGTTGGTACCTCAAAAAGAACTGACAGGAATTGGTTGAAATCTTCACACACTTATTTGAGAGTCACTGACCAAGGCCCACAACTCTAACATAGATTTTGACAGAATTATGGCCCTTTCTGAGATAAGAAAATTCTTCTGTTTTACTATCAAGCACTGAGAATAGTCGAGCGAGCTGTCCTACTGATAGCTCTTGTTGTAGCTTTAGTCACAGTGATAGTTAGGAGATAATAAAGTGCTGTAACACAGACTAGTCCTGTGTCACTGGTTCACATTCCCCATTTACTGATTACCTTTGGGCTTTATTTAAGGGGAAGCATTTGACCTAGCAAAGAATTGAAAATGCGGGGTGCTTAAAAGACCTTCCAGTTTTTCAGATTTTTGACAATTTGTATAATAAGCAAACTTTTGTCATAGAACCATTCATACTTGACCATATATCCTGTCAAAAATCTTTATTACTATAATATAATACTGTTTGTATATCTATAAGATATAATTACACTAAACAAAAAAAATATTTCTTACAGCAACTGGCAACATTAATGATCACGCGTCAAGTGATCGGAAACATACGTGAAGCACTCGTACCATATGTGTTGTGGAAGATGAAATTGATGAAAGTTGGATATAATATAACTGGTCACATGTCTCCAGATACACTGAAGAAAGAAATAAAAGGTAGATAATACTGATATAATACTGTATATGCTGATGACTGGAATGATCCCTGTCTGTGTAATCTATGTGAATTAAGATTGTGAAAGTTTTTTACTAAAGCCGCATGCTCTCAGATGAATGTATCAGTTTTTAAGAACCAGGTTTAAGCAATGTATCAATTTCTAATATCTATGTAATGCTAAGTTAATGGTCAACCAGCTTAGTTAACTCACCAGCAAGATAGGAAAATAGGCTTACAGGGTTCGATTAAGATTGATATTCTTGAGCTATTGTTGAAAAAAAAAAACATGCCCATTATAGCTGAAGGGTTGCCATCAATGATTGAGGCATAAGAATTGCAGCGAATGTTTATATCTGCGTGATTTTAAGAGGCAACTAAATGGGTTCTAATAACTGGAGTCTATGCATCTCTTAGTTCCAGCAGGTGAGGTGGCTTTCCTGTTCTGGTGCCATTAACCTTATCTGTGTTGGTGTGCTGTAAAAAAACAAACATATAATATAATTTTGTTGTTACAATGTTTTCACATTTTTTTTAATAATTAAATATTGTAAAACTCTTAAAATTGTAATATGTCAGGTTTTATCACACCTTACTGCTAGTTTATCAAGAATAAGGTTTGTATAGCTTTTAATTATAACCCTTCACAAGTTCACATCTATTAATATATTAGTCCATCATAGCAACAATCAAAATATAGTTATAAAATCCACTTCATTACCTTAAGCAACCCAATTAACCCAAAGAACAATATAAACCCACATTCTAACAAATGACTTTTTACCTAATTCATTTAGCTAATGGCACTGTGATGAAAAAATGAAAATGGGAACTTGTAGGTTACTCAACATGACAAAGAGAAAAACTTTACAGACTCAATAGAAGTTTATTAATAGCAGAAGTCTAGATTACCTACCCCTGTCACTGTGTTCTAATTTGGGAAGTCATTTGGCCTTTTTCAATTTGGGTGGTTCCAGTATTCCTACTTGAATACTGTATAATCACCCTTAGGATATGTTGCCTGCTTTTTAAATTTGTCTTTTGACGTCTTATCTGTGATATGCAGGCTTCATAACCTCAGATCCCCTTTCAAAATTCCATTTTATTTAGTTCCGCCCATTGTTTTCTCGTTTAGGGCACACGCATTCTTTTACTTGGGGACCATACGCCGCTTTTCATGGAATGACACTACTGTGTCACATTGAAGGTTCCATGATAACCGCCGTATGAACACATCTGCGGATGTTTCTAAATTCAAAATTTCACCATTTTTAGCTCGACTATTCGATAAGAATAAGTAGAGCTATTGCAGTCACCCGAGCGTCGGCGTCTGCGTCGGCGTAACCACTTATGTTAAAGTTTTTGTAATACCTCAAATATTTTCAAAGTCCATTGACATATGGCTTTGAAACTTTGCACACTTGTTCACCATCATGACCCCAACCTGTAGACAGGAGGAGGTAACTGTATCAAGCATTTTGACAGAATATATGCCCCTTTTTCGACTTAGAATTTACGTTAAAGTTTTTGTAATACCTCAAATATTTTCAAAGTCCATTGACATATGGCTTTGAAACTTTGCACACTTGTTCACCATCATGACCCCAACCTGTAGACAGGAGGAGGTAACTCTATCAAGCATTTTGACAGAATTATGCCCCTTTTTCGACTTAGAATTTATGTTAAAGTTTTTGTAATACCTTAAATATTTTCAAAGTTCATTGACATATGGCTTTGAAACTTTGCACACTTGTTCACCATCATTACCCCAACCTGTAAACAGGAGGAGGTAACTGTATCAAGCATTTTTTTTTACTATCAAGCACTTAGAATAGTCGAGCGTTGCTGTCCTACCGACAGCTCTTGTAGTGTTTAAATATTGAATTCTGCTTAAGCCGGTGCTAGGGGGCGTGGACGATAACTTGCACTTTCCAGTACTGTCCATGAACAGGCTCAATCAAACCGAGTCTGCAACATTTTCAATTTTGCCGTGTTGGGCTTTCTTTAGGGATTCTGTTTTTCTCTATTTTATTAGACAGCAGTGAATAAGGCAGTCTGAGGTTCAAGCTTCCCTGGCACTGGATTGAGCAGAAGTAACTACCAGTAATGATCCATCAGGACCCTTTGTATATTCAGCTTTTGAAACAAAACAAATTGGTTAGCTTGATTTGCAAAGTTAGAAGCAGATTGTATGAGGTCATATACTAGTAAAGCATGTAACTCATCTTGCACCTAGGGGGTGTAAGATAATATATCTGCATTGGTGCAAACACTAAATAATTTCCGTCAGGTATGCATGGCATTGCACTCTCATGTATCACCTTTTATAAATGGGCAGCAAAAGTCACAACATGTATATTATAATGCTTTTTATATGTACAAAATGCTTATTTTACACATTTCACACTGCCATGCTCTTTAACGAAGACTGCTTTAGAAAAAAGACTGCTCAAATCAAAAATGATGCCTTATACAGGCAGCATAAAGCCAGACAAGTGGTGGTGTTCGTAGTTTTCGTTCTGGATCACGGCAGAAAGCCACATTGAATTTACCAAATAACAATTTAGCCACCATTCCTGGGCAAGTTTACCAGTACTAGTTGCTTTCACTTTTGCAAGGAATGTATTACTTTATCTGCACAGGTTCAGTGCAAATGACCATAGAAAGGATTTCATGATCAATCACAATGAAAGTGACTTGTGCAACCTGGTCATCAAACTTGGATCGCCTGATTCACAGTCCAACACTCTACCTATTGAGCATACCGCACATCTTTTTGCTTATCTGTCCTATCTTGCCAGACAATTTGTACCAATGGTTGCTCAGTTTAAGATTTGATGCATATGTACCTTTAACTATGAAAGCTCTAAACTGGAAGCAGGAAAAGTTTATTGTAATGAATAACAGTGTCCATTTTTGAAAATAGATTCTGCTGATAAGTTTTCATTTCAGGTGAATCAGGTCTGATACTTTACTGAATGGTTTATGTTTCCTCAAATTTCTCTATCAAAACATTAAAAAATAGGTTAAGTAATCATTCTTATATGGCTATAAAACCAGATAGCAGTGCTCTTGCGAGATTTGTTTAATAATTGCTGGGTTTTTTTCTGTTCTTTTTTTTGTGTGTTTATTTTACTGTAACAAAAATGACACACATACTAGTATCACATATTTTTTTTTTCATCATGATTTTATATTTATATTTTGCTTTTAGTACATATGATCGGAATCACAATTCCTATGTTATTCAAATCTAACTTTACTTTAAAGCAGTATCTGTTCTTTTCCTGATTTCTTTCTTGACCCTTAACTTACTGGAACTAAAAAGTGTTTAGTCTTTGTAAAGAGGAGGTAAATCCATTACACAAATTAAGAAGGGTAAAGAGTAATTTTAGCAGCAAGTCATGTGACTTTAAAACCTATATAGTCAAAATAAATGTGGTCAAAAGTACAAAATACAAGTTTCTTAGAATTATGGGTTTGAATGAGCAAAGTTAGTGGAAAAATATTTTGTCAAATTTTTATTCTTGTTAAATAATATACAGTGACATTTCTGAAGGGTGGCCTTTTTCTGTAAAGCAATAACCTCTTTAAAAACACCAGCATTCCCCCCAAAAAATATTTTGAACACCTCTCAACAACTAACAAAATCTTTGGCTCACCAAGGGTAACTTGCTTGGTAGAGGTTATACACTATGTCTAAAAAAAAATTATGTAGAGAACACATTAAAGTCTAGTAGAAATTATTAAGAAGTAAGATTCCATAGACAAATTTTATACAAACATTTCAACATACACTTAATATAATTATGTAAATGTGTTGGTTATGTTGTTATGGGCAATCATTTTCAAACTTTACATTTACAGGTTTAGGTTTAAGCGGGTCATGTGATTCTGATAATGAAAACAATGAGGAAACTGACAATATATCCACTGGTTTGACACCAGATGGCGCTCCAGATGTTTCTGAGGAACCGGTTTGCACCAGACAAGTGTTTTCAGAGGAATGCTCATCAAAAGACTGTTCCTCACCAGAGAAAGTTCCGGTGGATCAAAATTCTGAACTTACACTTACACAGGCAGAAATAGAGAGCACAATGAAAAAGGTATGTTTGTTTTTTGTGTCAAGATATTATACATTGTTATTTATTTACTTACATATATTTAAACTTTAATTAGCTTTGAAGTCTTTTGTGGCCTACCTGACTTGGTCAGTTTCTTAGAATTGCTTTCTTTTCTTCTTCATTTCGTTACATTACAGCCAGCTTGTTGGAAGTTTCTTAACAGTTGTATAGGAACTTTTCCTGCTTTACTGGCTGAAAGACATATCAGGTGTCCCTTCCATGCATCACTAGCTTGCATTAGTAGAACAACAGTTAAAAATCAGGGCACCTGCACCCTGTTGATGCTTTTTTAATTTTGTTTAAAAAAATCGACTCATATTTTCTTACAACACTAATCTTACAATATAATGGAATTCGTTTTCAGTATGAGGACACATTTGACGATTATTTGGAAATGTTTATACAGTATGGATATGTGATATTGTTTTCATCTGCTTTTCCATTGGCTGCACTCTTTGCCTTACTAAACAACGTTATTGAGATACGCAGTGATGCTTTCAAACTTTGCATCTACCATCAACGACCTTTCGGAAAAAGAGTTCGCAACATTGGCATCTGGCAGGTAGAGTTTAGAATTTTTTGGTACTAAAATGGCATACTTTTGTCATCTTTTTGATCATTTCCTTTGATTGGCTGTATGCAAATAATAAAACTGTATAAAACTGTTAGGATTTAGCAGGCTCTTCAGCAGTATTGCAACGTGTTGGAAAAAATATATCTAGGAGAAAAGTGGAAATAAGTACATTGAATTTTGGCATGTAAACAAAACCATCACATTAATGTGCCATACAGTTTTACAGAAATTTAGGCAATATCATGAACCTGTAACATTCGTAATATTGGATAACCCACGTACAAAGCAAATGTATGTTTTTAGTTATAAAGATTTTTTGACAATTTATATGGCCTAGTCTAAACAATTGTAAACTTATATGATATAAGCCAGTAGGTGAAGGTTATATAGCAACCAATCTGTTATATACAACCCTATAACCTGTCTTAAGTCTTTGTGAAAAATTTATAATACTCCATTTTTTTCGAATTTGTATCATCAGTGTATATGGCACATTTACCAAATGAAAATCAATGTAACAAATGTACAGCATTATCAGAATTAATATACTGTAAAACACTTATTATTCGCGAGAAATTTATTTTCGCTAATATTCGCGAGTGTTCTAAGACGCGAATTCATATTCCTCGCGAATATTTCACTTTGTCTATACACTTGTCCGAAAATGAACACAATTCGAAAATGCGTACATATGGATATATATCTGCGGGAACGTATCGAAACCACTTCTAGTTACATCATGTAGCTATTCAAGTGTTACAGCATTTACATATCGTGCAGATTACTAGTATGAAATATTTACGTGTATGTAAGTGAAAAGATATATTATTAGTTATAAAGATTTTTGACAATTTATATGGCCCTAAATAAACGGTTGTTTGTAAATACATATTGCCAACAACCGTTTATGTATGGCCATATAACCTGTCAGAAATATTTTTTACAAATTTATAATACAGCAAGCATCATTTTAAGAGGATAAAAGTGCGATTTCTTCATAAATTGACAGCAGCCGTGTATATAAAACTATATAAACATGATTATCCAATGAAAAGCGACGTTACAAACATGCAGTATTATAAAGTAGTTAATACACACCAAGTAACTGTTGTTGATGAAATTGATTTCCATTGAGAATAAGGTCACATTCAATGTTGCTTAACTTAAACTTGCATGTACATAAAATCAGCTAATTTTTTATGCCCCCACAAAGTGGGGAGCATATAGCGTTGCACTTGTCCGTCTGTCTGTCTGGACGTACGTCCGTCCGTACGTCCTGAAATCTTGTGAATGCAACTCCTCTTAAACCGGATGGCAGATTTTGCTTAAACTTCCAGGGATGAACAACCTTAATGTGTAGATGGTAGTAAAGGAAGGAATTTTCGCTGCGACCAAATTTAACAGAATTATGGCCCTTTGTTGATTTTTTTCACTATATACTAAGTAGAAATTTTGTGAACGCAACTCCTCTTAAACCGGATGGCAGATTTTGCTTAAATTTTTAGGGATGAACAACCTTAATGTGTAGATGGTAGTAAAGGAAGGAATTTTTGCTGCGACCAAATTTAACAGAATTATGGCCCTTTGTTGATTTTTTCCAGAATAAAAAGTTCCACATAAAAACCTTACATACAGATATGCATGCTCTTGTTTACGAGCACATCTGCACAGTGGGGGCATCCGTGTCCTTTGGACACAGTTCTAGTTTCAGCAGGATATAGACAATATAGTTGCCATTGGTAACTGCTGTTGTTTGATGGTAGCTTGCATAGAAATGAATTAAACACATTTATTTTTTAGCTCTTGTGAAACTAGTTCATGCAAATTTATATTCACTTTGGAGTTCCGCTTCCTGGAACTAACCAGCACTGGTGTTATATGAAGAAACATGACCGTGATTCCTGGGTTGAGAGGCAAACACCTTAACCACTAGGCCACCGCCCCTCTAGAAATGAATCTATGCATTCTCATTATATAAAATGAAAATATTTTAAGATGTTTTTAAGATGTTTTTTAAATTATGCAATACATGTATATGAGTAACACGTGTGCTATTTTCACTCAAATGTCAATTTAATGGTGATGTTATTTAAAATGGTTTACTTTCCGTTCAAAATAAAACTGATTGATAAAGTGTTGAATTGATAATGAATGTGCTAAATACATATGTTCATGGTAATGTCAGCATTGACAAGTTTAATATTTAAGTTCCTTTTTACTGTTCTAGTATTAGAGGTGTAACAATACAGCAAAAACCGTATTGCAATATATTGCCATTTTGCTGAAGCGTATTGCAATATATTGCAATACGTATTGTCGTGTATATGTTTTGATGTAAAGATGGAGTAACATTATATATTTTTATTATATGTATATATTTTTAGTAGAAACTTAATAAAAATGTAAGGAATAAATAGAAAGTAAATTGTCACACAATTTGATAAACAAAACTAGTCACGTGTGACCTTTCACATCTGGGCCGCTTATGTACATTGTACATTATGCGGCCGCTTATTGATTTTTAAGTGTACTAGTTGTCGGATACTTTTGCCTACCGTTGGCGACAATAAAATTCGCCAATTAAAGATTTTAGGTGACATTTGTACAAAATACAAAGGCAATTAATTGAAGATTATGACTTTTACAAAATACCGGTTTTCCAAAAATCGTACCGCGGTACGAAATTTATTTTTTCATATTGCAATATATCGGTATACCGGTAAACCGTTACACCCTTATCTAGTATCTATTTCATGTTTTATTTTTACATTTGACATATCTATTTTAGGATGCATTGAGAGTAATGGGTCTGATAGCTGTAGTTGTAAACAGTGCTCTGATTGGTGTATCTGGGCAGATGACCCGAATGACCCCTGACCTTGACACAACCTCAAGAATTTTTGTAATTCTAGCCCTTGAGGTATGTGTGTCCTTAACTTTAATTTTACATAATTGTAAACCTTAATTTAATAAATTAATCGTAAATTTAAATTTGATTAATTAGTTTATAGTTTAAACAAATTATTAAATTTATTTTAGTTTGATTGTGTTGAAAGCTACAAGCTTACTTAAACATTCTCGAATCTGTTCCTGGAACCAACCAGTACTAAGCAATGAGTGTAAAGTTTCTTGCTCAGGGAGACAACGACCTGCCCCTGACGGGGTTTGAACCCATGCAGTTAGCAATCTTTAGATTACTAGTCTGATGCGTTAACCACTTGGCCATGCCGCCACTCATTGTAAACCTTAATTATACCCCCGCACAACAAAGTTGTAAGGGGGGTATACTGGAATCAGCTTGTCCGTCCGTCCGGCCGTCCGTCGGTTTTTTCTTGTCCGCCCAATAACTTAAGATTCCTTTGACCCTTAGTCTTCATATTTGGCATGGAGGTTAGTCATGATTAGTAGATGACCCCTATTGATTTTGAGGTCACTAGGTCAAAGGTCAAGGTCACAGGGGCCTTGACTTCAAAAAGCTTGTCCGCCCAATAACTTAAGATTCCTTTGACCTACAGTCGTCATATTTGGTATGGAGGTTAGTCATGATTAGTAGATGACCCCTATTGATTTTGAGGTCACCAGGTCAAAGGTCAAGGTCACAGGGGCCTTGACTTCAAAAAGCTTGTCCGCCCAATAACTTAAGATTCCTTTGACCCATAGTCTTCATATTTGGCATTGAGGTTAGTCATGATTAGTAGATGACCCCTATTGACTTTGAGGTCACCAGGTCAAAGGTCAAGGTCACAGGGGCCTTGACTTCAAAAAGCTTGTCCGACCAATAACTTATGATTCCTTTGACCCACAGTCTTCATATTTGGCATGGAGGCTAGTCATGATTAGTAGATGACCGTTATTGACTTTGAGGTCACCAGGTCAAAGGTCAAGGTCACAGGGCCTTGACTTCAAAAAGCTTGTCCGCCCAATAACTTAAGATTCCTTTGACCCTTAGTCTTCATATTTGGCATGGAGCTTAGTCATGATTAGTAGATCACCCCTATTGACTTTGAGGTCACCAGGTCAAAGGTCAAGGTCGCAGGGGCCTTGACTTCAAAAAGCTTGTCCGCCCTATAACTTAAGATTCCTTTGACCCTCAGTCTTCATATTTGGCATGGAGGTTAGTCATGATTAGTAGATGACCCCTATTGATTTTGAGGTCACTAGGTCAAAGGTCAAGGTCACAGGGGCCTTGACTTCAAAAAGCTTGTCCGCCCAATAACTTAAGATTCCTTTGACCCTCAGTCTTCATATTTGGCATGGAGGTTAGTCATGATTAGTAGATGACCCCTATTGATTTTGAGGTCACTAGGTCAAAGGTCAAGGTCACAGGGGCCTTGACTTCAAAAAGCTTGTCCGACCAATAACTTAAGATTCCTTTGACCCACAGTCTTCATATTTGGCATGGAGGTTAGTCATGATTAGTAGATGACCCCTTTTGATTTTGAGGTCACTGGATCAAAGGTCAAGGTCATAGGGACTTTGACTTCAAAAAGTTTGTCCACCCATTAACTTAAGATTCCTTTGACCCACAGTCTTCATATTTGGCATGGATGTTGATCATGACTATAAGGTGACCCCTATTGATTTTGAGGTCACTGGGTCAAAGGTCAAGGTCACAGGGACCTTGACAAAAAAAAAAGCTTTTCTTCTCAATTGCTAAAGAATGTCCTGTCTGCAATGTATTGATTTTGACATTTTCACATTTGAAGCATGTAGAATACATAACTTAGCAATGCACTGGCTTAGTAACCTCAGATTTGGCAGGGAGGTTGTCCTTGAGCTCTAATTGGCCACTGTTGATTCTGACAAAGTGGTATGCGGGGGTATTCACGCCATGATAGTGGCAGTTCTAGTTTGAATTATTGCAAACCTTATATATAATCATAAACTTTAATTTGATAAATTCATCTTAAACTTTAATTTCACAAATAATCTAGCTACAATTTTTTTTAATAATCTAACTACAATTTTTTTTTAATAATCTAGCTATTAACTAGCTACAATTCTTTTTAAATAATCAAGCTACAATTTTTTTCAAACCCCTCATGAAGAGGTAGACAGTGTGTGTTCATCAACTTCACAATGATAAGAAATGAAGTAAAAGAAAAACATTTATAAAAGATTATATACAATGTACATTTATAAAATAAAAAAAATATAAAGAATTGTTATAAGTAAAAAGCTCAGAAACTGCAATGTTTTATTTGATAGATTGCAAACATATCTTTGATTAATTGACATAGATTTGATTCATTAATAACAAGTCCATAATTTGATGAACTGCAAAATCATAAATTTATTATTAATTAATCATTACAACGGTTGCAAATGCCATTTAATAAACTATATATTTGGCTATTTTTTGTGTTTCAGCATGTTATACTGGTATTGAAAATGTTATTTACCTATGCAATACCAAGTCAACCACAGTGGATATCACAGGAAGTTGCTAGACTAGAGTTTCAGAGGAGGGAGGCTTTAAAAGTACAATAACAAGTTTTGTCATGATCTCTCACTTCAAAATAGTAATTTTTAGCTCAACTATTTGAAGAATAAGGAGAGCTATTGTACTCGGGTAGATGTCTGCGTCACACTTTGGTTAAGTTTTTTCGTGCATGTTGGTATCTACAACACTACTGTAGGGAATGGGTTGAATCTTCACACACTTGTTCTCTGTGATAATCTGACATGATAGGCACAGGTCCCATAACTCTTCATTATACCCCCGCACAACAAAGTTGTAAGGGGGGTATACTGGAATCAGCTTGTCCGACCGTCCGGCTGTCCGTCGGTTTTTTCTTGTCCGCCCAATAACTTAAGATTCCTTTGACCCTTAGTCTTCATATTTGGCATGGAGGTTAGTCATGATTAGTAGATGACCCCTATTGATTTTGAGGTCACCAGGTCAAAGGTCAAGGTCACAGGGGCCTTGACTTCAAAAAGCTTGTCCGCCCTATAACTTAAGATTCCTTTGACCTACAGTCTTCATATATGGCATGGAGGTTAGTGATGATTAGTAAATGACCCCTATTGATTTTGAGGTCACCAGGTCAAAGGTCAAGGTCACAGGGGCCTTGACTTCAAAAAGCTTGTCAGCCCAATAACTTAAGATTCCTTTGACCCACAGTCTTCATATTTGACATGGAGGCTAGTCATGATAAGTAGATGACCCCTATTGACTTTGAGGTCACCAGGTCAAAGGTCAAGGTCACAGGGGCCGTGACTTCAAAAAGCTTGTCTGCCAATAACTTAAGATTCCTTTGACCCACAGTCTTCATATTTGGCATGGAGGTTAGTCATGATTAGTAGATGACCCCTATTGACTTTGAGGTCACCAGGTCAAAGGTCAAGGTCACAGGGGCCTTGACTTCAAAAAGCTTGTCCGCCCTATAACTTAAGATTCCTTTGACCCACAGTCTTCATATTTGAAATGGAGGTTAGTCATGATTAGTAGATGACCCCTATTGATTTTGAGGTCACCAGGTCAAAGGTCAAGGTCACAGGGACTTTGACTTCAAAAAGTTTGTCTGCCCAATAACTTTAGATTCCTTTGACCCACAGTCTTCATATTTAGCATGGATGTTGATCATGATTAGTAGATTACTCCTTTTGATTTTGAGGTCACTGGATCAAAGGTCAAGGTCATAGGGACTTTGACTTTAAAAAGTTTGTCCACCCATTAACTTAAGATTCCTTTGACCCACAGTCTTCATATTTGGCATGGATGTTGATCATGACTATAAGGTGACCCCTATTGATTTTGAGGTCACTGGGTCAAAGGTCAAGGTCACAGGGACCTTGACAAAAAAAAAGCTTTTCTTCTCAATTGCTAAAGAATGTCCTGTCCGCAATGTATTGATTTTGACATTTTCACATTTGAAGCATGTAGAATACATAACTTAGCAATGCACTGGCTTAGTAACCTCAGATTTGGCAGGGAGGTTGTCCTTGAGCTCTAAATGGCCACTGTTGATTCTGACAAAGTGGTATGCGGGGGTATTCACGCCATGATAGTGGCAGTTCTAGTTTTTACAGAATTATGCTCCTTTTCTTGCTGTCAAGCACAGAATAGTTGAGCGCCCTGTCATACAGACAGCTCTTGTTTTATGGCTTATTTGAAAATGATATAAAGTGGTTGAAACATGAGGTTTAAGTTGATCCTTGGATATCAAATGTTTTACCACAAGATTCATTATTTTCTGTATTTCATTATTAACATTGTCAATTTCTGTTTCTGTAATATTGAATTAATGAAGTTGACAAACTGAATTCATATTGTAGTTATCATAAAATGCATTTGTTATATTGTTAAGCTATTTGTTTTTATATTATTGTCTACTTCCTTTTCCTGTATCTGGAATCATTGTATTTTGTTTCATTCTTTTATTTTCAGAGTGTAGAGTCGCATTTATCATCACCAGATGTCCGAGTTGGCCATTCGCCAACAAAAGTTTCGAGTCCTATATGCAATCCAGCCCGAGGATTTTCTACTCCGAGTATTCCTGCCAGGCATCACTCGTCCGATCTGACATTATTATCTCAGGAACCATGCCTTTCCCTCCAAAATAAACAATCTCTAACTCAAACGCAATCTCTACTCACTGGAGCAGATAATCTCGATACCAAAAAATATTCGACAGTCACTGCCTTAAAACCTGAACAGTTATCCCTTTTTTCTCAAAATCCATCGTCCATTTCTGTGCCTTCAGACTCAAATACTGACAGTTTATCTGCAGTGGTAAATACCTCATCCAAACAAGTGCAATCATTTATGTCTCTCCAAAAATCCGAGAACCAGACTAGTACACAGGTGTATGATAAGTCTGGTTCCCGGAATGTGTTACGGACTACAATTCCTGTATTAGAGATGAAGGAAAACATAACAGTAATCAGGCCGTGGGATGGATACAGTCTCACAGAGCAGGAAGCCAGGATGCAAACTAGACAACGTATTTTACAGAGTGCTAAACTTAGACAGGAAGAAGAGGCTAAATTGATTCAAAGAAAATCTGCCAGCAATTTGTGAAATTATTTATTATTCTTTAATATTGTACAATTTGCAGCTTCTTTATTCATACAAAGAAAATTACTTGAATATTTCTTGCACAGTGTGCCATTATTTACATATTTATATTTTATCATGTTTAGCATGAAATGCAATTTTTTCATAGATTTATCAGGCTTTGATTATTCTTGCCATGTATTGGGAGTACAAAATCTTGCTTTATTTTCCACAATTTTACTTATCTTACATAAAGAAGGTAACACTCAATGGTCAGAGGCATTTTCTCAAGTTGACCTACATTTTCTAATGGTCAACTTCTTTTAGGAATGCCTATGCATCTTGAAAGATGAATAGGCTTCTGAGAATGGCACATACTTCTATGTTGATGACATTAAATTGTACCAGAATGACCTACATTTCTGTATGTATTAGAATGACCAGTAATTCTATATGTATTAGAATGACCTACATGTATTAGAATGACCTTCATTTCTACATGTATTAGAATGACCTACATTTCTACATGTATTGGAATGACCTACATGTATTAGAATGACCTACGTTTTTACATGTATTAGAATGACCTACATTTCTACATGTATTAGAATTACCTTCATTTCTACATGTATTAGAATGACTTTCATTTCTACATGTTTTAGAATGACCTACATTTCTACATGTATTAGAATGACTTTCATTTCTATATGTATAAGAATGACCTTCATTATGTCTCCCCCACCTCGGGGGGAGACATATTGTTTTTGCCCTGTCCGTCCGTCCGTCAGTCCGTCCGTCCGTCAGTCAGTCCGTCCGTCCATTCTTCGTTTCCGGACGATAACTAGAGTTCCTTTTGACCTACAGCTCTCAAACTTCATAGGATGAATGGTCTTATTGAGCAGATGATCCCTATTGTTTTTGGGGTCAGTAGTTCAAAGGTCAAGGTCACAGTGACCGTTGGTCAATTTCTCGTTTCCGGATGATAACTAGAGTTCCTTTTGACCTACAGCCCTCAAACTTCATAGGATGATTGGTCTTATAGAGCTGATGATCCCTATTGTTTTTGGGGTCAGTAGGTCAAAGGTCAAGGTCACACTGACCGTTGGTCAATTTCTCGTTTCCGGATGATAACTAGAGTTCAACTTCATAGGATGATTGGTCTTATTGAGCAGATGATCCCTATTGTTTTTGGGGTCAGTAGTTCAAAGGTCAAGGTCACAGTGACCGTTGGTCAATTTCTCGTTTCCGGATGATAACTAGAGTTCCTTTTGACCTACAGCCCTCAAACTTCATAGGATGATTGGTCTTATAGAGCAGATGATCCCTATTGTTTTTGGGGTCAGTAGGTCAAAGGTCAAGGTCACAGTGACCGTTGGTCAATTTCTCGTTTCTGGATGATAACTAGAGTTCCTTTTGACCTACAGCCCTCAAACTTCATAGGATGATTGGTCTTATAGAGCTGATGATCCCTATTGTTTTTGGGGTCAGTAGGTCAAAGGTCAAGGTCACACTGACCGTTGGTCAATTTCTCGTTTCCGGATGATAACTAGAGTTCCTTTAGACCTACAGACCTCAAACTTCATAGGATGATTGGTCTTATTGAGCAGATGATCCCTATTGTTTTTGGGGTCAGTAGTTCAAAGGTCAAGGTCACAGTGACCGTTGGTCAATTTCTCGTTTCCGGATGATAACTAGAGTTCCTTTTGACCTACAGCCCTCAAATTCATAGGATGATTGGTCTTATAGAGCAGATGATCCCTATTGTTTTTGGGGTCAGTAGGTCAAAGGTCAAGGTCACAGTGACCGTTGGTCAATTTCTCCATTTCCATTCCTGTTTCCATTCACAGTTATTCTCAGCAGTGGGGGAGACATGCGCTTTTTTACAAAAGCATCCTCTAGTTTCTACATGTTTTAGAATGACCTACCTTTTTACATGTATTAGAATGACCTTCATTTCTACATGTATTAGAATGACCTTCATTTCTACATGTATTAGAATGACCTTCATTTCTACATGTATTAGAATGACCTTCATTTCTACATGTATTAGAATGACCTACATTTCTACATGTATTAGAATGACCTTCATTTCTACATGTATTAGAATGACCTACATTTCTACATGTATTAGAATGACCTACATTTCTTCATGTATTAGAATGACCTACATTTCTACATTTATTAGAATAACTTTCATTTCTACATGTATTAGAATGACCTAGACTTCTATGTTGCTTCTTTGACTTAATTTCTTCAAGCAATGCATTAACTGAAACTTCAGTTACATACATTTGTATTGAAGTGAACCTTGTACTTAAAACTCAATGCTTATTTTTTCAAAATTTTATAGTATATAAGTATATTTAACATCATGTTTTATGTGTTTCTCTTTAGAATTGATTGTGGGATGTTTTATTGTGTTAATTTTGAATATTTTACAATATGGTTTATGCTTAAATTCATCCTGGTGTTGGTGAAAAAAAAATATATTGATGTAACCATTTTTTTTTAAATTTCCGAGGGTAAAAAATGTCAAACTAAAAAGTGGTTCATATATTTTGCCATGGGTTGTAGTCCTTCTTAACACTTTGGTTTACATATTCAGTTGTTTTAACATTTTATTAATGACAGCTTCTTTTTTATTAGCTTTTGAAGCTGAAGACATAGAATGTCCTGGTTTATAAGCAAAGATTTTCATTGCCTTACACATTGAAAATGAATACTTTGATTTTTTTAAGTTTGAAAATTTGAAGAGTTTTGTTGATTTATTTAATATGTTTTTTTTGTGTTTTTCCTTTCTTGGTTATTTTAAGAAACATTACATATTTATATTATGTTTATTAGACATTAGATGTAGATTGTTTTCTTATACCAAACTTTGGTACCTATCTTTACCTCTTTGTATGATATTGTATTTATATTGATAAAAATCCATGTTAAATTTTAGTGCTCAAATTCGCTGTCTTAGTACATTTCAGATGTATATATTAGTTTAAACATATTTTATTGCATCAAAAATGTTGTACAAATAATAAGTATATAACAAAAAGCAAAATTAATGGGTAAGGCAACAAGTTCTAGCAACATAAGATTAAGCCCTTCCCAGAGATGTATTTATTCATACTTTTGGAATTGTCCATTCTTAACTTGTCAATTAATTATAATTAATTATAGCTCAGTCAAGCACATGTGTTAGAATGACCTATATTTGATATGTGATTGTATAATGTACTTTGTTATTTGTTGTTCTTCTTGTTATCTTCTTTTGTTGTGCCCCCACTTTAGTGGCGGGCATTTAGATTTACCCTTGTCCGTCCGTCCTTCCGTCCGTCCGTTCTCTTTTGTGTCGCACGTAACTCAAAAAGTATTTGACCAAGAGTCATGAAACTTTACAGGAATGTTGATCAGCATGTGTAGTTGTGCACCTGGGTATTTTCATCTGGATATTTTTAGTATTTTCAGAGTTATTGCCCTTGACTTAGTAAAATTTTGCAATTTTCAACTTGTGTCGCACGTAACTCAAAAAGTATGTGACCTAGACTCATGAAACTTTACAGGAATGTTGATCAGCATGTGTAGTTGTGCACCTGGGTATTTTCGTCTGGATATTTTTAGTATTTTCAGAGTTATTGCCCTTGACTTAGTAAAATTTTGCAATTTTCAACTTGTGTCGCATGTAACTCAAAAAGTATTTGACCTAGAGTCATGAAACTTTACAGGAATGTTGATCAGCATGTGTAGTTGTGCACCTTGGTATTTTCGTCTGGATATTTTTAGAGTTATTGCCCTTGATTTAGTAAAATTTTGCAATTTTCAACTTGTGTCGCACGTAACTCAAAAAGTATTTGACCTAGAGTCATGAAACTTTACAGGAATGTTGATCAGCATGTGTAGTTGTGCACCTGGGTATTTTCATTTGGATATTTTTAGTATTTTTAGAGTTCTTGCCCTTTACTTAGTAAAATATTTTTAGTTTTCAAAAAATATTTGTAGAGTCATAAGATTGACAGAACACTGGCGCGGTGGGGGCACCCATGTCCTATTGACACATTTCTAGTTTTAAACCTAGGTCTGCTGACTTTTATGTAATGGATTTGCCCAGCCTTGAATTTGGAACAGTCCATTTCAAATTAATGGTTTTCAATATCAAAACACAAAAATTCAGCTCTCAGCAGCAAAGAGTCTTATCATACTGTACCCGATAGTGCAGGCTGGCCTGGTTTTATACTATTGGCAAAAGGTAATCGTTTTCAGTTCCAGCAAATACATCAAATTAAACTATCAGGATAGATTTGATTAAACTTCACAAGAATGAATCATAGATAATTTTACAAAAGTTTCTTATCTCATGCTTAAAGATATCATTGGAGATTTCAATATACGTTTAAAATGAAATCTTTAAAGATCTTATGTTAGAAACTGCAATACCTAAAGTTTAGATATTTGATATTTAGCACTGCTTAGTGGGCATCTTTTGTCAAAATCACGCCCTAGCAAGACCTACTTGAATTTTTTCAAGGATTTTTGGCAAGTAATATTTTCTAGTAGTCCAGATTGTCTGTATTGAAGTTACGCCAGTAAGTAACAATACATGTATACTTTTGAATCCCACAGCTAAAAGTTGACCCTAAATAATTGCCTTTGTTACTAATTTAGGAAATTTTCTTTTTTCTGAAGCACAGCATATTCAAGATGACCTTTACAAATGGGTTCGGATTACTGGAGTCTATGCATCTGTTAGCTTCAGCAGGTGGTGTTTTTAACCTCTGGTGTTGCTTTAAAGTTTGTAACACCAGAGGTAAGCCAAAATCATCTTTCGTGTTTCGGCACCATATGACCTGTACAGTACTATGTTTGTGTGCTGTAAAACCAAACTAACAAACAAATAAAAGACAAAAGTTATACAAGTTATGACAATGGTGATTTAAAAAATAGCACATCTGAGCCTTTCATGTGTACTGAATAATTTACTCAGGTGAGCGATATAATACTACTTAGCTTTCTACTTAATAGGTTTAACATTTACATTGCTATTGCAGTAACATTACTATTACATTAGTATTTACATTATTATTACATTAACATTTACATTACTTTATTCATATTTTACAAGGGTTTATGGTTTTGAAATCCAAATTTTTAGACATATGTTGTATTT